TTGTTACTTGGAATTTTGAGGATCTGATAAGTATCCAGCGTCTACATACCCAATGAGAGTAGCATCTTGTTTTGGTTGGTAATATAAACCAAGGTCTTGTGTCCCTCGTAGGTACCGGAGTAAGCGTCGAACTCCCTTCCAATGCCTATATGTTGGTGCATTGTTGTGCCTGGCTAGCAAGTTAACAGAGAAAGCTATCTCGGGTCTAGTATTGTTAGCTACGTACATTAAGGCTCCAATGGCACTTAACTATGGTACTTCTGGACCCAGAATCTCTTCATTTTCTTCTCGGGGTCTGAATGGATCATTTTTCATATTCAAAGAATGAACAACCATTGGGAAGTTGGTTAAAGTTACTTTGTCCATGAAGAATCTTTTCAAAACTCTTTCTGTATAGCTTGATTGATGGACAAAAATACCATGACTCAAGTGCTCAATTTGTAGTCCAAGGCAAAATTTAGTTTTCCCAAGGTCTTTCATCTCAAATTCTTTCATCAAGTATTTTGCAGTTTTCTCGAGTTCATTTGGGGTTCCGATGATATTTAAATCATCAACATAAACTGCAATGATAGCGAATCCTTATTGTGATCGCTTTATGAAAACAGAGGGACTAACTTGGTTGTTTTTGAATCCTTCTCTCATAAGGTATTCACTCTGACGGTTATACCACATCCTTTCAGATTGTTTTAATCCATAAAGTTACCTTTTTAGTTTTATGGAAAACAATTGTTTAGGCTTGTGGTTTTCTAGTAGGTTTAGTCCTTCGGGGACTTTCATGTAAATGTCCGTATCGAGTGACCCATACAAATACACAGTCACTACATCCATTAATCGCATTTGCAGTCCTTTTGTGACCGTCAAACTTACCAGAAATCTTAATGTAGTTCCATCAACCACTGGAGAATATGTTTCTTCGAAATCAATCCCTGGAATTTGAGAAAATCCTTGGGCTACAAGTCTTGCCTTGTATTTAACTATCTTGTTTTTCTCAGTACGTTTCCTCACAAATACCCATTTGTATCTAACAAATTTTACACCGGCTAGTGTAAGGGTTATTTTTCCAAAAACTTCTCGTTTTTCAGGTGACTTTAACTCAACTAGCATTGCCTCCTTCCACTTTGGCCAATCACTCCTGTGTTGACATTCTTCTACTGTTCTTGGTTCAACATCATTTTCATCAGATACAATGTTGATTGCGATGGAATTTGCAAATATTTCATCCATGATAACATAATCTTTCCTATCCCATTGAGTTTTGGTAGACATGTAATTCATTGAAATTTCATTGTTATCGATGTTTTGAACATCTTGTTCATTTTCCGTAGGGTTGTCTTCTTGTTCGTGCCGTATTGGATTATCATCATTTTCTTTAATTTCATCCACATTTGGTCTTTCTTGACCTTCTGACGGGGGAACATCATTAGTCTCATTTTCTATTCCATCCAATCTTTTCAATTTTCTTGGTTTAGAATCTTTTGAACCAAGTGGTCTCCCACGCTTTCTGCGTGCTTGAGATTCACTTTCTATGGCCTTATTACCAGTTGGAATCTCAATACGTGCAAGGGCATTTTCTGCTGGTATATGTGATTTCGTCACCTTTTTTGTGTCTACAAATGCATCAGGCAATTGATTTGCAACACTTTGTAAATGAACAATTTTCTTGACTTCTTGTTCACACATGTTTGTTTGTGGGTCTAACATCAACAGTTGGGTTTCACTCCAAATAAGTTCAATTTCTTTCTTACGTGGGTCCACTTTCTCTCCCCCTAAGGCTGAGAATACTGTTTCATTAAAGTGACAGTCGGCAAATCTAGCCGTAAATAAGTCACCAGTCAACGGTTCGAGGTATTTAATTATAGAGGGGGAATCAAACCCGACATAAATTCCCAGCCTTCTTTGTTGACCCATTTTTGTTCGTTGGGGTGGAGCAATGGGAACATATACAGCACAACCAAAGATTTTTATATGTGAGATACTTGGTTCTCGACCACAAACAAGTTGTAGTGGTGAGAATTTATGATAAGCTGTAGGTCTCAATCTAATTAGCGCTGCTGCATGTATTATAGCATGTCCCCAAGAAGATGATGGCAATTTTGACCTCATTAATAATGGTCTTGCAATCAATTGTAATCTCTTAATTAGTGATTCAGCTAGACCATTTTGTGTATGAACATGAGCTACTGGGTGTTCGAAATCAATTCCAATTGACATACAATAATAATTAAATGTTTGGGATGTGAATTCCCCAGCATTGTCAAGTCTTATTTTCTTTATTGTATGATCTGGGAATTGTGCTCTTAATTTGATGATTTGGGAAAGTAATTTTGCAAAGGCAACAATTCTACTTGAAAGCAGACTAACATGTGACCATCGTGTGGAAGCATCAATTAAAACCATGAAATATCAAAATGGTCCACATGCTGGATTAATTGGCCCACATATATCTCCCTGAATTCTTTCTAAGAATTTTGGAGATTCGGTAGCAATTTTGTTCATAGATGGCCTTATTACTAATTTGCCAAGTGAACCTGCAGAGCATGTTAATTCATCTGATCGGGGAATTCTGACATTTCTTATTGAATGTCCAACTAAATGTGCTATTATTCTTTGCATCATCCCAGTTGCTAGATGTCCCAAACGATCATGCCATAGAATAATCAAATGTTTGTTATCTAACTTCTGGTTAGATACCATAGTGATTTCCACGGGTCGTATGTTTATAAGATATAACCCCGAAGAAAATGCTGTCAATTTCTCATATATATGTTTCTTGCCATATTTTTCTGCCGTGAGGCATATATACTCCTTTTGATTTGTCGTCATTGTTTCTAGATGATAGCCATTTTGGCGTATATCTTTAAAGCTTATAAGATTTCTTCAAGATTTACTCGAATATAAAGCATTATTGATTATTAATTTTGTTCCATTTGGATGCATTATACAAGCCTTTCCAGATCCTTCAATTAATTTAGCTGACCCGGAAATGGTGTTTACATTTGCTTTATATTAGGCATATATTTTCTATCCTTTAAGATAGTAGGTGTTGTTCCACTGTCCAAAAGACATTGATATTCGGGACTAACTTCTGGCAGATCCATATCTTCATAAAATAAATTTGAGATTAGTTTAGAATAATATCATATAAACTTTTATTGATGGTAGAGATTTAGAGTACATGACTAGAAATTTAAAATACAGGAAACTAAGAAAATACATTAAAACTTAGCATATGTTACATTAGTAGATGGGAAACCTAAGCATTGTTGTTTTCTCTAAGAATGAAATCATTTCCAATTTCAGCATTATCCATGAAATAATCAGATACATCAAGGCTGGGACAAGGAGCATTTTTTATAGGGTAAAATCGTATCCCCTAATCAAAAGTAATTCCTAAATCCTCTAACTAATGTAGATAGGGAAGTAGGATCGAATCCACAGAGAAACGAGTCTTTCTATTCCTAATTAAATAAAGTAATCTAAATTATAAAGTAACCAATATGTAAGTTTGGATGTGAAACTAAACTACGGAGATTAAGAAAAGGGAGAAAACAATATATAAAAGGATCTAGGGCATAGGTTCACTATTAAATAATACTCCAGGGTAAAACATAGTAATCAATCATTGACATTGCATAAATAACATGATTAACAGGCTCTCGTAATTTATTAATCAACATAGATCAAACAGGCTCTCGCAATTTACTAGATCTAAGTTCTTATTGAAAATAGCCTTTAATATTAAATTAACATATGCTCGATTCATCAATTCAATATTGCTATACTTTTACAGGCCGCAATTGTAAAACGTTAAAACAATTCAATAAGAAATTATCACGCAATACCAATAATCAATAATAGTCAATCATCAATGCATCAATTAACCAGATCATAAAGGGCCTTCGCTACGTATTACAATCACACAATTAATTTACCGCTATTAAATCTCATCTCTCGAATCTCGATTCAACCATTTATAAATTAATCTGCCTATTGAAACTAGACCTAAACATTAATTCTCATCTCTCGAATCTCGAATCAATGTTGTCAAACTCATGCATAAAAGATAGGCCTAATCTAGTCAAAGAGCATTAAATCATTCAAAAGAAAATTAATCTTGCATTGACAATCAACAACAATAAATTACCCCTTCATATTATTTATGGATCCCCATCAACCCTAGAAATAAAACTACTCACACATAGTAAAAACTAAACTAATCAAAGCAATAAAATAAGTCATGATGAAAGGAATAAAATAAACAACTAAGATTAAGAGAAGAGAAATCGTTACCAAAATAAATCTAGAATTAAGAGTAGATTAAGAGCAAGGGTTTAGGAGAAAGAAATCTAAGAGAATAATTAAGAGAGTAAGGAAAGAGTAAAAGAAAAAGAGAAGGAAAGAGATAGATCCTAAAATCGTATTACGGAGGAGTATTTATACTCCGTACAAATCCTAAACTAAAACAAACTAAAACGACGCTAATCGTCAACTAATAAATACACACGCCCGATCGGGCGCGCCTTTTTGCTCATAATACTAATCTCGCGCCCGGCCGGGCGCGTCATCGGGCGCCAACCATAGCTTCTCCCGCCCGGCCGGTCGCGCCTCTGGGCGCCAGCCTCTTTGGCCGGGCGGCTCACTTGGGCCACTATTTGGATTACGATTGGGCCCCAATTCTTCGGGCCAATCTGGTTTTCCTCTTTCGGTCTTGAATACTTGGTCCAAATGCCCCGGTATCACCTATACCGAGCCCTTAATCACCGGTTCGATGGCTCTAACCGGCCCTGGGCTATAAAATCTGGTCGTGCTTCTCCAATGTTCGTGATTGCTCCAAAATATCTCGGGAAAATACTCCAAAAGCATAAATCCCTGCAAAAGTCAACCAAATCTACGAAAACACTAGAAAACACCAATTAGTAATAAAAGTGGCTCTAAAGAGACAAAAACACTACTAATTATGACCAAGGGACGGGGGTAAAATACTATATAAAATAAACACATCAATTTTCCTCATTAACATAATATGCTTCTGCATTTTTCTCTTTGCCTTTTATAGAAGCCTGGTAAAGGTCTATCAAATGTTTGTCCTTACGAAAAGTACGTCCCCAATGTCCTATCATGCCACATCTGTAACTTGTGTCTTTTCCTTTCAAAGGATTTTAATTGTGGCTTCCAGACGTCTGTCCCTTCTGTTTGAAATTACTGTTTCTTTGAAAATTTTGTCTACCACGACCACAGCCGCGTCCGCGTTTATTTCCACGGCCTCTTCCACGGCCATTGTATTTCCACGTCCACCTCTTCGTGTAGCATTTGACTCTGGTGGATAAAAATTTGTTGCATTTGCCTCATGATGAGTAGCCAAAGACCCAGTTGGTCTCAGGTTATGATTTTTCAACAGAAGTTCACTATTTTGTTCCGTAATAAGCAATACACTCATTAATTCATTGAACTTTTTAAAACCTCTTTCACGATACTGTTCTTGTGACAGTATGTTACTTGCATGAAAGGTAGTGAGTGTTTTTTCAAGCATATGTTCATCCGTAATTGGATGATCACAGTATCTCAATATAGACACTATCTCATGTATGGTTGAATTATAATCAATTACAGATTTGAAATCCTGGAACCGTAAATTTGTCCAGTCAAATAATGCCTTAGGAAGTAGCACCCTTTGTGGTGTCCAAATCTTTCATTAAGGCAATCCCATAATTCTTTGGGATCTTCAACCATCATGTACTCAGTTTTAAGGCCTTCATGTAAATGATACCTTAACAAAACTAAGGCTTTTGCCTTATCTTGTTCAGTGATAGGTTTTACAACCGTCATTACAGAAAAGGTAGCATCAGTTGTTTGACCAAAGGGACTTTTATTTTCTTTAACGGTATGCTCCAAGCCTTGAGCTTTCAAATTCATCATTGCATCCACTTTCCATTCCAGAAATTTCTTTCCAGTTAAATCTAAGATGCTGAACTTTCTTTTCATAAGGTCTCCCATTTTAGCTACAAACAATTACGTGATAATTAGTTTATAATGACAAATTATATGTACAACTCACATGTTTAGTTCTTCCATATTTATAATTAGGTCAATAAAACACGTGATAATTAAATTTAATAATAATAAACCATAAATAATGTAGTCTTTTCTCCCCCTTGGTTTATTATTGTGAGTAATTATATAATTAGGCAAAAATTAATCATGTTAGTTGCATAAAAAAAAACAGCATAACGACAACAATAACAGTAGTAACAATAATTATAATGATAACGGTAATATTATACAATGATGATTAACAACAAACAAACATAATAAGACAAAAACAAGCTTTTAATATACTAAAACGACAAAATAAGTGAGTTTTTCTTATACATAATGACAAAAATTAATATTGCTACTAATAAAACTACAAGCGTCGTAATTAGAAGGAAATATTGTTTTATCTTCTTTAAATCTTCTTCAAAGGTGAAGTTGTGGGTGTTTTGGGTGTTCTGGTTGCCGTCGTCGGGAAACATATCGGAGAAGAAGGGGGTGATAAAATTTTTAGGTGATTTTTGGATAAAAAGTGGGAAGGGATAGGGGACTTGTGGTGAAATCGGGGAAAAATCCGCCTTTTATAGAGGTAAGTTTATCCGTTACTGTTCTGTACAACTGTAAAAATATCATATAACAATCTAATATACTGACAGAAATTATGGTCCAAATATATATATTTATAATTGTAAATGGTTATCACACTGGGAATGCAAGCCATAGTGGTCCGAGAGCCCTAATATCTATAAGAGATCATGGGTTCGAAAACGGAAAGAAACACAAGAAGTATGTAAAAGTAAGAAAAATATTAAGTATAAAAGACTGCATCTTTTTGTTAATCTAGTTAATAATATGCATGCAAAGTTTCTACTAGACAATTACAATAACTAAAAAATTTACGTAAAATGAGTATGTAATATCAACATGAATCAAACAAAGAAACATCAACATGAATAAAACAAAAGATGGTAGTAATGAATTCACAAGTAAGAGAACTTTCACCGTTGTTTTTGAGGTATTTATATAATACAGTAAATGTTTGAGTTTCTGGTATAGAGGATCCCAAATATGGGCAACTATAGAGCGTACTCCTCGAAACATTTAGAAGTAGATAGTATTATTTGTTATAAATTTTTATACGTAGGTATAAATATACCTGACTGGAAACTAGTGCTGATAACGTGTTAAAGGTCGATAGGAAGTCTTTTAATCAGTGAAAGGAGAAGTAAAGAAGAAGTAAAAAAATGGGATGAGTAAATTGTAATATTGCACCGGCAACATGACTTATATAGCCAAGAGCTTTGTCATACAAGTTCACAAGTATTTGGACTAGTGTGAACATTGTGAAATCAAATCCAATAATAGGCTTTCACATTTATCTTCTAACAGTAGCGAAAATATTTTTTGGTATTATAACCTCAAATACCTAGTGAAATAATAATCCCTAAACTTAATGAAATCATAATCCTTAAATCATCATTAGTAGTTACGAACTGTCGAACTGCAATTTATACAATTCCTCATTTAGTCGTCATTGACTTTTACAATGCAAGTAGCCCACGATGGAGTAGTATTAATCTTATCTAATTTAAGATCTAAAATTTAACTAATCATCAAATTTCTCTCTCCTCCTCCAACACCTTACCCACCCACATCATCTTCCTGCTTCATCATCTCCAGAACCTTCTATCTTCACCATAGATCTTTCTCTCTCCTACTCCATCACCACCATAGATATTTCTCTCTCCTCCTTCATCGATCATCTTCCCAATTATCTTTCTCTTTCCTCCTGGGTGATTTGCTGGTGGTTTTGAGGTGGATTCTTGGGTGGTTTGCTGGTGGTTCTGAGTTGGGTTCTTGGGTTGTTTGTGGAATCGTGGGTTAGGTTATTAATTGGATGATTCCTGGTTGGTTTTGAGGTGGGTTCTTGGATGGTTATGGGGGTGGTTTGTAGGATTTGGTGGTTCGTCACTGATTTTGGTGGTTCATGGGGGTGGTTTCGCTGGTTCATCACGGTGGATTTGCTGGATTCGTTGGTGGATTTCAATGATTTGGTGGTGATTGTTCAGGGTTCGGTGGTGGTTGTTCGGACTTTCGGTGGTGATAAAGTGAATTTCATTGGTTTTGGTGGTGGTTGTTTAGAGTTTGGTGGTGGTTGTTTAGAGTTTCGGTGGTAGTTTTGGGTTAGGTGGTTGTTATTGGTTTCAGATATTTTTTATTAGGTGGATGGCGATGATGATGGTCAGCCCCGTTTCTGAGATTCCAGGGGCCTATATACGAACTTATAAATTGGGCCCTTGATAAAAAACACGGATGTTAAATTTATTTTATTTTTTTTAAAAAAAATTGATGGTAGGCAAAAGCAAAAGAAAGTGCAGAGTACTAAAAAGAATATTTTTTGTAATTTTTTTTTTAAAAAAACAACTAGAGTAACAAAAAGATTTTTTAAAAAATTCCAATTTATTTCAACTCAATCAACAATTATGCATACTACTACTCCCGTACTCCGTACAATTTTCTTCAAAACACATAAATAAAGGTGAGTACTTTTTATATTTTTAGCCAATAATCTTCATAACATTTTACTTGCAACTTGGGAAAATTTAGCACAAAAACAAAAAAAATGAAAATACAATATGACAAAATTACTTTAAAAACAGAAAAACTAACCCTAATCAAAATTTTAAAACCCCCAAAAATCAAACTAGGAATAAAAAAAATAGACAAGCTTTTAAATGGAAATCACATTATTGCTATCAATTTGCTCAGTATTTTTTTGTCAATCTCGTCAACAACATTAATCTTTTAAACCCTTGTAGGCATTGCTAGCCACCATATATAATTTATTAAAAACTGTATAAATCAGGATTAGTTTGAGAGGAAGATCTTCTTATTTTAAGAATTGAACATATATAACAGGCTAAAAATAAATATAATGATAGCAAAATTAAGGAATTTACGTGTAAAAATTTAGGAAAGTAATTGTTTTGAGAAATGGAAATCTTTGGTATCAATAAGCGTGATTTCAGGAAGGAATTAATATGGGGTACAAATTTATAAAAGTAATTTATTGGGAAAATGGAAATTTTCTGGTTTCAAAATGAGTAATTATGGGAGAAATATCTAACAAAGATTATGAGCTTGACAATTTTTTTCAATAAACGTAACTTTTACTAAATAATTTGGGCTTCCCAATTTGGGGCCCCGGGCGGCCACCCTGCCTGCCCCGCCCCAGATACGGGGCTGATGATGGTAATGGTTGATAATGAAGGTGGTGGTGCTGATTAAGGTAAAATGATGATGATGATGATTAAGGTGCTCCCAGCTAACCTACACGTGTACAACTATGTTCCTATCTCATCACACACATGGGTTGCATAGAGAAAATCCTTATTAATATGTCATATAAACAAAAGTTGTTTATATGGGGGTGTGAATGACTTTTAGTCTATTTTAATAAGGGTAAAAAAGTTACGCGAAAAATGGCGAATAACGGGGCACTAACGAACGTTAACTTGGACGGGGTTTGTTCTTGTTCCAAAAACACTGTTACATTATAACCCATGCTATTGACGACAATAACACAGTTTTCAATCATTGTTTTCATTGGCGAATATCAATTCGAGTTTCATAATCGTTGCATAGCTATTGAATTGCAATTCATTGTTAAGGGAACAATTATTCAGTACGGAGAGGGTGACTATGGAGGTACTAGTACTAGCTGGTCAAATAACCAATTGAATCCTGCGGCAGTAGGATGCGAGCAATGTACAGCTAGGGTTGTACAAGGTAAGTGTTACTGTCGCATGAATTGTTCATATGAAGTTGTTGTACGAATTGTCGTCGCTTTTAAATCGCATCGATTTTGTTGAATAGTTGTAATTCTAGGTTGTAATGATTAAGTTTTGTTAATTGGCATAGGGTTCAGTTTAGTAATTGTGACATGAATCGGGCATGAATTGGGCTTTGTAATTTTGGATTGTACTGTACACTGAATTGAATTGGTAATTATGAATTGAATTGAACTAACAGGAAACAAATTCAATTGAAATTCTCTACAACCAATTAGTAAATGTGAATTGATTTGAACTAAATGTTGAATTTGTACATTGAATTGAAATGGTTATTTAGATTAGTAATTGTGAATTGAATTGAACTAACAGTTATAAGGGGCAACTATTGTGTGGAATAAATGGAGGGCGGATACATGAAGCGGAAAATGTGCAGCAGTCGAAATGATGATGAGGTACAATTTTGCTGCAGAACCTGAAACATGGAGTAGACCAGTTTTACCCTACAGTTTGTTTTAGCTAATGTCAAATTAATTTTCATTTTAGGATGGAATAGGACCAGGACCTACCATAAACAAGCTTTCTCCTGAGGTATTCAAGGTAATAAATAGTTTGTATTATGTAATTGGAACTTAATACATTAATGAGGCTTATGTAGTGGCTTGATCTTATAGGATGATTCTTTAACTCTTGGCGGTTGTGTGAAAAGGAAAGGTTAAGTGTTGCAAAGACATGTGAAGGCAACTTGTAGGATAAGTCCTTAATTCCATATTTATAATTGTTGTATTTTGTATGGAGGGGTGAGTGAGTTGTTAGTAGTATTAGTAACCTTTACATTGATACCTGTTGGTTGTTATGGTTCATACTTACAGCCAGCTAATACAAGTTGTCACGTAGAGTCGTTTGGTAGAATCTGCCAAAAGTTAGACCAGCAAAGGAAGGGGTGGGTTTGTGAAATGGGGTTTGATGGTCTGTTAAAAATAGGAGAAATTAACCTCCCAAGACAATTGAAATATTGGTTGATGACTCGTATAGATCCCTTTAACTGTACTCCTACTAGCAGAGATGGTAGAGTTTTCAGGCTTTCTCAAAATCAGATGCATTGGGTCCTTGGTATTCCCAATGGTGGACTTCCTGTCTCTATATACCAAACAATGGATAGTGAAATGTTGG